AAATTTTATTTTCTAAAAGGTTTTTTTTTATTTTATAAAAATTATTTTTCTAAAAATATTTCCGGCGGATTTATTTTTTTAATTTTTTTACATTTTAAAATTTTTTTTTCTAAAAATATTTCCGGCGGATTTGTTTTTAAATTTTCTTTTCAAATTTTTTTTTTCTAAAAGGTTTTTTTTTATTTTATAAAAATTATTTTTCTAAAACTATTTCCGGCGGAATAAGTCCGCCGAAAATATTTAAAAGATTTTTAATTTTTTTTTCTAAAAATATTTCCGGCGGATTTATTTTTAAATTTTTTTTAAAATTTATTTTTCTAAAAGGTTTTTTTTAATTTTTTAAAAATTATTTTTCTAATACTATTTCCGGCGGATTTATTTTTTGAGTTTTTTTGAATTTTTTTTAAATTTCCGGCGAAATAAGTCCGCCGGAAATATTTAAAAAAATTTTAATTTTTTTTTTCTAAAAATATTTACGGCGGATTTCCGGCGGATTTATTTTTTTTGAATTTTTAAACTTTTCCGGCGGATAATTCCACCGGTAATATCTTTTCCCATTTTTTTTCAAATATTAATTAATTTTTAAAGATTAATTAACCCTTAATTAATAAATCCGCTGGAAATCTGACCGGTTTAAATTTTCCGGCGGATTTCCGGCGGAAGTTAACAAAAGTTGACTTTTTAAAATGCCGCCGAAAATCCGCCGGAAAATTTCCGGAGGAATATGTCCGCCGGAAATGCCGCTGGAAATGCCCAGTTTTCTAGTAGTGTTCTTGTAATACTATTAAAAAATATTGTATTTTTATTAAGTAAAGAAACATAGAACAAATCACGCAAGAGTGGGTTTGGTCAATTTGTTTATTATATAATTGACAACCCATAAATGTTGACTTAGGGACAAATCTGGATCGATCTACCATCTCTCTTAACGTATCCATCATGAAATATTATATTGAAGGTGACTTCAAATATCCTAACAAACTCATCCAACTCTTCAATAATCCATGATCTACATTTATACATATACCCACATGCAGAGCTACATAATTTAAATCTGGTGAAAATCTCTCTTCTCTCTATGCGGTTTAAGCTGTTCTTCGACACTCATGGTTTTGTTATTGGGTTTTAATTATTATTAATGTTGGGACTTCACATCGATTTTTAATTACTAATATGATGGCTGTGCAGAGTAGTAAGCATCTAGAGAGATGAACACGAGAAGTGCGAACTTAGGTTCAGTAGAGTTGAATGTCTTCAACCAACATCAGATTAACATTCAGAGTGCATCACATGCTCACTCACCACAACCATTACCTTTGAATCTACCTTGTCAAGATCTACTCGATGGTATGTTCGTTTTATCCTAATTTGATGTTCTTTTTACCATGATTTGACCATTTTCTTATTCTCTTAAATAGGCACCGTTCTTTTTTGAACCCGACTATATATATATATATATATATATATATATACATTAACATCACGTACAAAATCACATGTGATTCATGCGACTTGAAGAACCGGCCAAAGTAGGTTCAGGGCCGATCCTAAGATTTTTGATGCTCAATGCGAAAATAATAAAAAATGCCCCTAAGCCAATGAAACAATGAAACATGAGATATTTTAAAAAGTTTAGAACCTATTCAAGCTAAGTATCTCATTCCCATATTGATTTATATTAATTATAATAAAAAAATACAATGAGGGGAACATAAAAACCAAAACCCGGAATAAAAAATATAAAATGATAAAAGGATAAATCTTGGATTAAGATCATGTTTCCTTCTTTTCCAGTTTTCCCTTTTCCAAATTGAAATTAGCAAAAATAGAAATTTTATTTCAATATATGAGACTTAAAAGACAAGGAAACCTATAATTAGTTTTTAACTAAATAGTAAATTACATTTAAATTACTATCATAGTAAGCAAAAAGTAAAACTCAAAAGTTATAGGTCTAATGACTAAAGGCTAAGGGCCCATCTGTTAGCAGCTTAATAAGTTTAATGAAATTAACAACTTATTTGCTCAACTATGCATTACTGTTTCATAGTGGATTAATGATATAGAAAGTGACTTATCTAGTAAGCTTCTAGGGAGAGTTTTATATAGAAAGTCAAGTTTTTTCCCCAAACATGTCCCTTCCAACTAAAAAACGTTCTTTATATTTGCGAAAAAGCTTCTAGGGAGAGCTTTATATCCAGTAAACTCTCATAAACAAAAACTTTTCCAACTTATACAAACAGATTAATTCATACAAACAACTTTATTCATACAAACAACTTTATACAAACAAAAACTTTTTCAACTTTTCAACTTTTTCCAACGAGGTGCATTCATTATTCATCACTACTAGGCCTTGGCCTTGATTTTATAGTTAAAGATCTTGTCCAATTCCCAAATTATTAAACCCAAAACTAGTAATAAATGATAACTTGATGCCCCTTTAGGCTTTGATGCCCTGTGCGGCTGCACAAGCTGCACGTGGCCAGGGCCGGCCCTAAGTAGGTTGCACACCTTTTTCAAAGTTAATATTAAATTATATGTGATTTTGCATGTAATTTGACCGTTTTTGTATTCTTTGAAATAGTTGGCATTCTCATTTGATCGTCCCCTCGTATGGGCCTATTTGTTAGCAACTTAATTAATGAATTTAAGAAATTCACAGCTTATTTGGTCAGTCATACATGAATGTTTGGTATTGACTTAATGATATAGAAAATGAGTTATTAAGTAAGCTTCTAAGGGAGCTTTGTGCAAAAATCCAAGTTTTTTTTTTCCAAACCTGTCCCTCCCAATTAAAAAATATGCTACTTCCATCTATGAGATACCCCTCCACCAAGCAAAAAGCTTCCCAAATCTATACATACGGATTAATCCACACAAGCAAATTTATTATACAAGACTCAATGAAAACTAACCAAATAGCCCCTTGTGGTACAAATATACTAATAACTTCAATCATTTTGGAATTAATTAGAAGGAAGAAGTAAAGAGTACCTAGAAATCTGTTTTCCTCTCTATGAAGCATCGATGAAAGGTAACTGGAAAGCTGCTAAAGACATTTTCGAGAAACATGAAGAGCTTGTACGGTTTAGCATCAATAGAAACTGTGAAACAACACTTCACGTTGCAGCATATGAAGGAAACACCTTGTTCGTGAAAAACCTGGTGACTTTGATGGAAAATAAGGATATGGAGCTTCAGAATAGCAGTTCCAACACTGCTCTATGTTTAGCAGCTGTAGCTGGACATGTGGAAATGGCTGAAATTATGGTGACCAAGAATAAGACCCTGTTGGATATTGCTGGTAGCGAAGGAAAGATGCCACTTTATATGGCGGCTTTATCTGGAAGGCATGATATGGTGAAGTATCTGTATGAAAATTCTGAAAGAATGACCGGTGGGTTTTGGACACATGAGAGTCGGGGTTGTGTTCTTTTATCATGTGTTGAGGCCGAGCTATTTGGTAAGCATTTTGGTAATTCTGCATGTATAGTACTTTTGCTCATTGTTTTTTTCTTACTTCCGGCTGGTAAATGTTGTTCATTAATTCCTTATATCGCCATGGCACACAGTCTTTCACTTGGGTTCTGGGAATACATCATACTTGGACAAAATATGTGTAAAAGTTGACTTAAACACTACAACAAAATCGAGTTTATAGGACGTCAAAAGTGTTTTGACGTCCTAATAGACTTACTTTACAAGATTTAAGTTTATAGGACCAAACATTTGTATGTCATATCTAAGTGTTGTAACAAGTTTTATGACTCTCTTGGATGTCTTAATAAATTTTTGTAGAATACTTTTGAAAGAAAAGGTCATGTTAACCTTCATATGACACTTTTAAACACACTTTGTCAAACGGTGTCCTATAAAAGGACTAACAGAACTTTGTTTCAAAAGTGTCCTAAAAATCATTTTTAGGACGTAATATTTATACTCTATATCACGTTAGTCAATCTTCTCCTGATCATGCTTTTCAGCCAAGGATCTACTTGTAAAAACCATTACCCTTCATCACACAATTCTATTTTTTGACTTCCTTGCATCAGTCATAACAGTTTCCCCCATTAAGTGCCATATACATTGTAGATGTCGCACTACAAATAGTGAATGATCGCCCAGAACTTGCTGTAAGTGGAGGGATTGTACTCGGTGTTCTGGCTCGTAAGCCTCATGCATTTATGAACAAGCGTACTTTCATTGAGAAATTGAGTAAGAATTTCTACTCCTTCATTGGTTTATTGCATTTTCATCATTGCATATTCATGTAAGTGTCAAGAAAATTCTTTTTGATCAAAGTTAGTTTTGATGAAATTTCAAGCAATGGACTCACGATTGAAAATAACGACCCATACTACAATAGAGTTAATATATCATTCGTCTATCGGGTTTACATTACAACTTCTTCTTGTGTTGCTGAAAATTATCATGTACAAACTTGATATTCCAATATATCAACATACCATGGTATTGTATTTGATAATCTCTGATTCCTCAACAATTATACATACATGAAATCAGCAATATACATACATATATACATAAGGGAATGTGTGCATGTGGGTGTATATTATATATATACACACACACACACTAACTCACATAGATATGTGGTCATGTGAGAATAACACTTATACTGAGAATACTTCTGAGCGGATGAGTAGAACTTATAATATAAATTCTTTTTTTTTTCGGTACAACTACATTCATCTATCTTTATCTACACTCTTAGTCATTTTCACCAACTTTTACATACATTTAATCACATTCACATGCATGAAGTTAAAGTTTTGTCCTTGATGATAAAAATTGATAAATAAAAGTAGTTGAATGAAGATGATGGTATATGAAGTTTTTGTTCATATATATATATATATATATATATATATATATATTGTTTTCTTAAATTTAAGAATATTCATGTAATAGCAAAATTCGCCCATTTCAGAAGTTCTTAATGTCATCTACTTTGTTTCTTGGTTCTTTTTCCAGCGAATAAATATAAGCGACTCATAGATGAGGAAAATCAAGCACTGAAGTTGCTTCGAATCATTTGGGCACACATTGTGAAATTGCCCAAGGCTAAAATTGATGACATACTAAGAGGGCCTGCTGACCCAATCATGGAAGATGATAAGCTAACTCAAAAATATTCCTCCAGAATATTATTTGTAGCTGCAGGAATGGGCAACACCGCATTTATAGTGGAGCTAATTCGTCAATATCCTGAGCGAGTACTCGAGCTAGATGATAATAACCAAACTATATTTCATGTTGCTATCTCACATCGTCATTTCAGCATCTACTCGTTATTGTATGAGATAGGCTCCATCAAGGATTCTGTAATTAATCTTGAAGACGGAAAAGGAAATAATATGTTGCATTTAGTAGGGATCCTTGAGGAGACAACAATGATCATGAGTAATCAACTTCAAAACATTTCTGGAGCAGTTCTACAAATGCGACAAGAACTCGTATGGTTCGAGCTACATCTTTCTGTATAATCGTCTTGTACTATCTCCCTGAATCATTCTACAAACTACTTTCAATTTATCCTAGTTTAATATAATCCGTATAATCTGTTTTTGCTGCGGATAACTCATGGATAATAACCCTTTATTTTGTAGTGATTTTGATATATGATGGCTATTTAATGGATAATAAACCGATGATAAGTATGTACTCTATGTGTTGATAGGAAGTAAAGGCTATACTCCCTCCTTCACTTCGAGAAAAGAAGAACACAGCCGGTCTATCACCCCATGAATTGTTCACCGAGAATCATAAAGGTCTAGTTTCCAAAGGTGAGGAGTGGATAAAAAAACATCTTCTGAATTAATGGTGGTTGCAGCACTTATTGTGACCGTATCTTTCGCGGCTGCTATAACGTTTGTAGGTGGATACAACCAAGATAATGGTAGGCCTATGTTATCTAAAGACAGATACTTTAATCTGTTCATGGTCACAAATGGCGCATCTTTTCTATTCGCTTCAACTTCAATCTTCTTTGTTGTATCCATCATTAGCTCTCGTTATGCTGAACATGATTTCTTGATATCATTACCCACGAAGCTGGCGTTAGTTATTGCAACACTTCCCACGTCTATGATGTACATGATGATAGCTTTTTCGTTCAACTTCTTTCTACTCTACAAAAACAACCATCGATATATACCGGTCATTATGATAACATGCTGTTATATTGTCTCTCTACTTTTTTCCTACTGGATGTTTACTTATTTTCGGTTTACATTTGGTGCTTTGTCCAAACAGAGGTTTGTCTGTACTCCTAAGAGAATCCTGTTTTAGCAAAAATTCCATGAAGTTTTATTTCAAGATGTATGCTTTGTGGCTGTCTATTGAAATTTGATGATGGATGATTATCTAGCATCTCGGGAACGTACAACAAAGGCGTCCTATAAACTTATTGTGACACTTTTAGTTATGTAACTTTATTTTTGGTCGTATAAACTTAAGTGGTAATGAACACTTTATATGTCTTATAAACTCAATATTGTTGTAGTGGAACCAAGTACGTTTTCGTTATTGCTACTATGAGGGGAATTGTTTTTGTAACACAGTTCTGGTAATGCAGCTAATATTGCACTATTTCTTTATGGCAAATGAAATTGTTTATTGAATGTTGATAAAAACATATCCGAAATCGAGTACAGGTGATGGAGGAGATCTAAATACTAACACTTCGTAAAGACCAAAGGCCTGCTTGGTTTATAGGATTTGGAGGGATTTGAAATTGAATTGAATTCCAATCCTATCACTACAAAAATGCAGAGTATCAGCGAGGGAAAATTCCCTCGCTGATCCGTCGCTGAAAGTGATTTCCTTCGCTGATCCGTCGCTGATACTCCATCGGTCAAACAGTCGTAGATAATGCTATTAGCGACGGAAATCAGCGACGGATTTGCGACGGACACTTTCAGCGACGGATTTGCGACGGACACTTTCAGCGACGGATCAGCGAGGGAAGTCTTTAGCGACGGATCAGCGACGGATTTGCGAGGGAACTTTCAGCGACGGATTTGCGAGGGAACTTTCAGCGACGGATTTGCGAGGGAATTTCAAGCACTTTCTGCGACGGATTTTCCCTCGCTAATCCGTCGCAAATTTGTAAAAAATTAAAAAAAATTAAAAAAACATAAATTCTGTATTTATTTTTAAAAAACCTAAAAATAATAATATATAACAAACCAAATCTGTGAACAAAAGTAACCAATTCATATGATTTAAAATAATACAATTTAATCTTCGAATTTGCAACCCATCATTGAATCTTGATAACCAATTTAAGTACTCCACTCTATTTACCTTAAAGAATAATATTGAGTTTTAACATTGCATGCAGTAGCTTTTTACAAATCTAAAAATAGTGCACAGTACAGACATCA